AGGAATGTGGACGAAGGAGGGATGGAGAAAAGGAGAGAGAGAGGGGGAGATGGATGGAAGGAGGGAGGGAGGAAGAGAGGGAGAGATGGATGGATGGAGGGATGGATGGATGGAAGGAGGAAAGGAGGGATGGAAAGACAGAGGGAGGGATGAAGGGAGAGATGGAGGGATGGAGGGGCAGGGGGAGGATGAGAGAGACATGCCACATTTCCAGCCCATGAGTCAACCTTTCTGCCAAAAAAGCAGGTTTGAAGAGGTTTATGCAACATTTCTCGCATGTGAACACAAAGAGGGAGGCGACTGAAGGTCACAAAAGCCCTGAACTGGTGCAAGTCCAGCTGTGTACTGGTGAGGGGTCTGGAGCACAAGTCTCGTGAGGAGAGGCTGAGGGAGCTGGGGGTGTTCAGCCTGGAGAAGAGAAGGCTCCAGGGAGACCTTGGAGCCCCTTCCAGTCCCTCAAGGGACTCCAGGAGAGATGGGGGGGACTCTGGATCAGGGAGGGGAGCCCTAGGAGGAGGGGGAAGGGTTTGACCCTGAAAGAGGGGAGATGGAGCTGAGCTGTGGGGAAGGAGTGGATGGATGGATCGATGGATGGATGGATGGATGGATGGATGGATGGATGGATGGATGGATGGATGGATGGATGGATGGATGGATGGATGGATGGATGGATGGATGGATGGATGGATGGATGGATGGATGGATGGATGGATGGATGGATGGATGGATGGATGGATGGATGGATGGATGGATGGATGGATGGATGGATGGATGGATGGATGGATGGATGGATGGATGGATGGATGGATGGATGGATGGATGGATGGATGGATGGATGGATGGATGGATGGATGGATGGATGGATGGATGGATGGATGGATGGATGGATGGATGGATGGATGGATGGATGGATGGATGGATGGATGGATGGATGGATGGATGGATGGATGGATGGATGGATGGATGGATGGATGGATGGATGGATGGATGGATGGATGGATGGATGGATGGATGGATGGATGGATGGATGGATGGATGGACGGATGGAGGAATAAATCAACAGACAAGTAAGTGGAGATACATTGGGATGGATGGATGGATGGATGAATGGATGGATGGATGGATGGATGGATGGATGGATGGATGGATGGGAAGATGGATGGAAGGAGGGATGAGGAGATGGATGGATGGATGGATGAGGAGATGGATAGATGGATGGATGGATGGATGGATGGATGGATGGATGGATGGATGGAGAGATGAATGGATGGATGGATGAGTGGATGGATGGATGGATGGATGGATGGATGGATGGATGGATGGATGGATGGATGGATGGATGGATGGATGGATGGATGGATGGATTGAAACCCTGGCCCAGGTTGCCCCGAGAAGCTGTGGCTGCCCCATCCCTGGAGGGGTTCAAGGCCAGGTTGGAGGGGGCTTGAGAGATGGGCCTAGGTGGAACTGGGTGGGCTTCAAAGTCCTTTCCAACCTCAACCATGTTATTTTTTAAGGTAGAAGAATGAAATCGCAGCATGAAGGACGGAGGGGAATCACCCAGAGACTCAAAGTCTCACCCGAGAGTCAGAACTTTTAAAAATAAAGCTTTTTATATGCTGCTGGATGAACGGAACCTCAAATTTCTGCTTTTCAGAGGCGCCCCCAGCAAACCCGGGAATAAACCCATATCTCCTCTCCTTTTCCTGCCTCCCATCCCCGAAACGCAGCCTCTACCCTTGTCCCTCACCCCTGGGCTCACAGATGCCCCTGGTCTCCAGTTTTTTCCAGTGGGAGAGAGTAACAGTAACCTGTAAAATTGGAGAATTCGGAAATTCAACCCCAAAAAAGAAAGCCAGCCCACAAAACCCTCTGCTTGACCGGGAAAAGAAGAGATCCCTAAGAAAAAGCCCCTCAATTGGACCACGGGGAGAGGTTTTCCCGCAGGAGGAGCAATAAATACTCAAGAAATATTTCCATTTTGCATGTAAAAAAGGTTTACACTGAGAAATATTTAACAAATATTCCTGTTTTTCACGCCAAAAAGGGCGCTGGACACGGCAGCCCAGAGAGGGGGGGTGAAACGCTGCCCCGTGTCCGCGGGAGATGGGGTCGAATGGAGCATTTGAGATAAAATAAAACCAATTTTCTCAGTAGTTTTCCTTTTTATCTCAATTTCTTGGCACCAGAATCCGCCTCCGAGCTCTTGGAGTGGCTGCCGTTGGGGAGAGGACACTGGTTGGACTGGGGAGACTGGGGCAGGGTGAGATTTGGGAGAGGATTAATAAAATAACAAATAAAATAATAAAAATAAGGGCGAAGCCTCAAGTGAGACGAAAAAACTGCAAGGAGAAGTAATTAATTAATCTGAGGAGGTTAACGAGGAGGGGTTTGAGGGTCATCTTGACCGGGGTCATTGAGCTTCTCCAGGAGAACCCACACCGTTGGCTCATCCAGGGGCACAAAATCAACACGCTCCAGGGGCTGGATGACTCCAAATCAGAAATAAGGCCCAAAGTTCATTAATTATGAGGGTGATTAACCACTGCAGGGCCTTATGAAGAGGAGCGTGGTTGGATCCCCAACCCCTGTAGGAGAAGATTGGGATGTTCCTGAAGCGATGGTGGCTCAGCCAAGAGATGAAAGCAACGCAGGTGGGGGGGGTCAGCCCCAAACAGCCAAAAAAAGCCCAATTTAACCTTAAAATCCATCAGAGAAGCTGATTAAGGGGCATTTTCCCCAGCGTGAGGGGATGGTGACGTGAGCGGGGCCGCGAGGCCTAGCGCCACGAGGACGTGCCGATTCATGCCCGGACGCCACGGAGATGCATTACCCTGTTGTCGTAAGCCAGGCTAATTAGTCCTGACTCTCGTCAAGGCTTAATTAGCCGGGGCGTAGAGCCAGGCGGAGGGACTGGCCCCATCTCTGCTGGGCCCAGGGCGTCCCAATCTCCCTCTTGCCCTTTTACAAGCGGCGAAAACGCGAGGTCAAGACGCCCAGAACGGATAGATTTTATAAAAACGGCCGGGGGATAATGAAAAAACTGACAATTTCTGCCGTTATCGCGGCCAGAGATAATAAAAAATGCTCAGCTTTTGCTCGGGGGCACGGAGTGACCACTGGCAGGGTCAGGGCGTTCGAGGGGCCGGAGGCGACGAGGTGAAACGTGGGGTTTTTTTTTTTTTCATTCCCCTCCGCGGTGGGATACCCCCTTTTTATTTATTTATGGATAAAAGCTCATCTCGCTCAGAGAGAAACAAACCACCCCGTAAAAAGCACCGTGAAGCAGTTGAGGGGAAGGTGTTGTTGATCGTTGTGAGCTCCATCAACAGAGTTGGGAGATGTTTTTCCACAAGCAGCCTGAAAACGATGAGGAATTCTGGCCTCGGTGGTCTTCAGGTTTGGAAAACCTGAAAAAATGCGGGTTGTCACCAACGAGGGGCAACCACAACCCCCAGGTGTTGTGGCCATGGCCGTGGGAGGCTCTTCTCACAACCCCACGGCCATGGGAGGTTCTTCTCACAACCCCAGGTCTTGTGGCCATGCCTGAGGGAGGGTCTTCTTACAACCCCAGGTCTTGTGGCCATGGCTGAGGGAGGGTCTTCTTACAACCCCAGGTCTTGTGGCCACAGGAGGTTCTTCCCACAACCCCAGGTCTTCTGGCCACTGCCACGGAAGGCTCTTCTCACAACTTCATGGCCATGGGAGGGTCTTCTCACAACCCCAAGTCTTGTGGCCATGGGAGGGTCTTCTCACAACCCCAGATGTTCTGGTCATGGCCATGGAAGGCTCTTCTCACAACCCCATGGCCATGGGAGGGTCTTCTCACAACTGCAGGTCTTGTGGCCATAGCCGTGGGAGTCTCTCCTCATAACACCAAGTCTTGTGGCCATGGGAGGGTCTTCTCACAACCCCAGGTCTCGTGGTCAGGGCCATGGGAGGGTCTTCTCACAGCCCCAGGTCTTGTGGCCATGGCCATGGGAGGCTCTTCCAGGTTGGCCAACCCAGGTCTTGTGGCCATGGCAGACTCTTCTCACAACCCCACTTTCATGGAAGGCTCTTCTTACAACTTCACAGCCATGAAGGGTCCTTCTCACAACCCCAGGTCTTGCAGCCATGAGACTGTTCTCACAATCCCACAGCCATGAAAGGCTCTTCTCACAACCCCAGGTCTTGTGGCCATAGAAGGCTCTTCCAGGTTGGCCAACACAGTTTGGCTCCAGCAAGAGGAGCACAGATGCCGTCTCGGAGCACGGCGAGACATCGGGCCCAGTCTGAAGGATGGAAAACTCATCCAGGAGCACATCAACCTTGGGGTTTGCACCCTCAACACGGCCATGCCGATGGCTCTCCATCCATAAGCCTGGTGAGAAATGGGTGCCGTGGCTCTTGGAGAGCGCCGTAGAGGTAGGAACGGCAGAAATTAAGAGATACAAGGAGGGAGGTCACGCCGACTTGCTGAAATTTCATTAAGACGTTGAGATCTGGTGTCCGAGCGATGACGCCCGGGCCTTCTTCTCAGGAGCCCCTCTCCCTCCTCGCAGGCCGGGCTCTGGCCTTTATTTTCACCATCCGTAACGACGTGCCGGTGGCGCGGTGTCTCCGAGAGGCCCTTCAGCCAGCGATTGAACTGATAAATTCACTGTATTACTTTACACAAATCAATACCCCAGCAGTTATCGGGGCTTTGATGTGACCGAAATTGGTTTCAGCCAATTTGTGAGCGTAATAAATGTCCATTTATCAAATCAATTCATTTGGCCGACCCTCCTTCCTCCCACCGCCCAGGGGTTGAGGGTACCACGGGGTGATGTCCCCCCCCAGCTCCGTGTCATCGCTCTACCCCATCCCAGCTCCTCCTGGACCCCCCAAAAAACCACCAGGGAAGGTGGAAGAACCTCAAACCAAAGCTCTTCCCTTCCTGAACCCTGACCCGACTCGTGGGCAACGACGCCAAAACACAGGCCTTGGAAACGACCCGACCTTCTCCAAAATAACCCCAATTCCCATCGGATCAGGACAAGGTGATATTTCTTCCCCCACCTCCACGTTCCTTCAGCTTCGGAACGTCAACTGGTTTCAACCAAATGTGTCACTTCTTAATTAAAAAGTAGATTTTCCGCCCCGCCCTTTATTCCAAACCTCTGCCCTGAAAAAATAAAACGAGGTTTTTTTTCCTTCCTCTCCCTTTCTCCAACTTCGGGAAGAGCCGTAACAGGTGATTTCAACCCAAAAAAAGTTTGGAAAACCAGCAGAAGGAAGTGGAGTTTGTGGACAAATCCCCCCTCCTCCCTGGGTAAACGCCGTGTCTCTGCGTTATTTCTGCGGCGTAATATTGAGGAGATGAGATCACACTCAAAAAAATATATATATTTTCAAAAAAAAAAAACCCTCCTTGGGTTGATAACCCGAGAGGGGAGAAGGTTTCTCCCTGTGTCCCTGCTTCCTCCCGGATCCTCCGCATCCTCCAGTTAAAAAGCCAAGGAAACTGGTCCCAAACTGGGGTGCGGGATGGTGGTTTTTGAGAGAGCCCCAAAACCACCCCCCCGCCTCCCCCAGAGCCTTTTTCCTTGGATTTCCTTAAAAACCCAAAGCTGGCGAGAGGTTGGGGGGGGCATCATCCCGTCGGAGACGCCCTTCATTAATTAGTTTAATCACCACCGAGCTTTTAATAGCCCTGTCCTGGCTGTGTAGGGGGATAGAGAGGAGGGGGGCTCGGGTATAAATGATACAGGGGGGGGTTCCCTCTTTTTTTTGGGGGGGGGGAATCTCCGTGGGAGCATCCTGGTCCCTCCCCATCACCCCCCCAAGGAAAGCACATTCCCTTTCCGTATCCTCATCCCAGCCCCTCCGGAGCCAGTGACGAGTTAAATGGGATTTATTCAATTAAGGCAAGAATTGGGGGGGGATTTTATAAATTAAAAGGGATGAGGAAATCTACGGCAAAGTCCCTGAGCCGGGATGGGGGGGGGACGTGGAAAAAGAGGCAGGAAAACTAGTCAGGGATGAAAATAAATAACAAAAAATAAAACAGATGGGGGGGGAAGTGGTTGAAAAAGAAAAAAAAGAAAGTCTTGTTTCTAAATTCTGAAAGAAACCCCCCCAAAATGGGGTAGAAGGGGAGGGAGATGCTCCTGCTGCTCCGTGGGTTGATATCCC